TCTCTCTTTCTCTTCCCCCTCCCCTTTTTCCCCATCTCCCCCTCTCTCTTACCTGTCCCCCCTCTCTCTCTTCTCTCCCCTTCTCTCTTCCCCCTCCCTCCCAAAAAACCAAAAACCAACACACAACAACACCAAAAACAAAAAACAACAAAACACAACCAAACACAACAACAAAAACAAAAAAACAAAAACAAACAACACAAACAAAAACAACAAAAAAACCAACAAAAAAACAAAAAAACAAAAAAAAACAAACAAAAAAAAAAAAACCCAAACAAAAACAAAAACAACAACAACCAAAAAAAACACACAAAAACCAAAAAAACAAACCCCACAACAAAAAAACAACCAAAACAACACCAAAAAAAAAAACAACAAAAACCAACACACACACAACAACCAAAAAAAAAAAAAAACCAACAAAAAAAAAAAAGCAAACAAGAAACAAAAACAAAAAAAAAAAAAACCAAAAACTAAACCAACACTTCTACACAAAAAAATAACTCCCTCTCTCTCTTTCCCCCTCTCTCTCACCCTCCTCTCTTATCTGCACAGCGACTATCACAAAGCAACTGAAACCGGTAAGCACCAGCCATCGTTCAGTCAAGAGCAACTGAGCTGAAGCGTGCCCCCCGACAAGCTGGTGAGCCGAAACTATAAAACTCACCAAAAAAAACACCCCCCCCCACACCCCCAACCCCCGCATCGCCCCCCATCCCCACCGAAGCCTCACCCCACCTCACACGCCCCTCCTCTCTCTTCTCCCCCCCTCCTACTCTCCTCTCCTCTTCTCTCTCTCTCCACCTCCTGCTCCCTCCCCATCACATACATCACCCTCCCTTTTCTACCTCACCATTCTCTCTACCATCGCACCCTCTCTCTCACCCTTCTCTCTCTCTGCAGTTATCAGAGCTAAAAGCTAGAGACCGCCCAAGCAGTCGTGCCGTGAAGCTGAGCAACTTGAGCCGGTGGACACCGTGTGGGCTTCTCCCCCATCCTATACCCCCCTCTCCCCCCCCATTCGCTCTCTCCCCTCTCCCCTCCTCTACTCTCCTCTTCCTCACACAAAACCACCAATCTCAACCACTAATACTACACCCACTCCCCCTCCTCTCACCCATCCCTTTCTACTAACCATCTCTCTCATCCCCATCTCCCTCTCTCTCTCTCTCTCTCACCCTCTGCTTTCTCTGGCAGGCTATCAGAGCTGGATGGAGCCACCCAGAAATCAATGCAGTGAACAGATGAGGCTGGGATGACGACACCCTGTGGCTTTCTCCTCTCCCCTCTCTTCTCTCTCTACCCTCTCCCTACTTTCTACTGCAGGCTTATCAAAGAGCTGTGGAAGAACACCAACATCGAACCAACCCCAAAATGCGTAAGAGCTGACTGGGACGTGGAACAACCGCTGTTGGGCTTCTCCCTTCCCCCTCTCTACGTCTCTCTCATCACCCTCTCCCTCATCTCTACTACTTCACTCACAATAAATCATCCCTCTCTTTCTCTGCGGGTTATCAGAGCTGGTTGGAGCACCAAGCATCACTTGCGATTGAGCTGGAAAGAACTGGGTAGACACCGAGGTGAGAGCTCTTTCCCCTCTCCCTCTCCCTCTCTCTTATCACACCTCACATCCACTCTTTCTCTGCATGCTATCCAAGAGCTAGGTTGAGCCACCCAAGCACGATCGCGTTGAGCTCAGAGCCTGGGTGGGACACCGTGTGGGCTTCTATCCCATCTCCCCCTCTCTCATACGACTCTTCAACCTCTACACACACTCTATTTCTCTGCAAAAGAGCATAATCAGAGCAATAAACAGACGACTTGACGAACAAAAGCCAACACATGACATCAAGTACGCGTGAGCACACAAAACAAAAACGCCAACTTGATGCTAGAGCACCGGCTGAGACAAGCAATGTGCAGACGAGAAACCGCAGCACACAGCTGCCGGGAAAGAACTGCACCTAACGCACAGCCAGTCCCCGCGCCGAATGCAAACAAAACTACATGTAACTCCACGGGCTCAGGTCCAAGGATAGACTATCACCTAGACTCCACGTCGACACTTCAAAGAACAAGCAGGCGAACCTCCTCGTCATCACACCGATATACAACGCTCAGCTAAGCGGCTAGGTAGTCACAGAAGTGGATCATACCACATAGCCTCTCAGGGCAAAGTGTGAGAAGTGCGCGCCTGCTGCTTCAGCGTTAGTGTTGCACAAAGTGGCTCTAGCTTGCCCCTTCACGGAGCTAGGTGTGAGAAGTGCAGTTCTGACTGGCCATCAGGGTCAAAGAGCGTAGAGATACACAGATACGCTCTGACTGACATCAGCACAAAATAAAAAAAAAACCACCAACGGTGAATTAAAGAAGTGAACTGCTGCTAACAACGAGGTTAGGTGATTAAGAGTGACTCTGCTCTGCCCGCAGACGTAGTGTAAGAAGTGTCTCATGAACTTGTGAGCCAACACGCGTAACGGATCTCTCAGAAGTGGCTCTGCTCAGCTCAGCGCACATACGGTGTGAGAAAGGGCCTCTGCTGTCTAAAAACAAATCGCGGAATAGCGTAGCTGAGAATTTTGCGCTCTGCTGCCTCATAAGCAGCCTAGAAGTGTGACGACAAGTGACGCTCTGACACTGCGTCCAGTGGTAAGGGCTGATTAAGAGGAGTGAGCAATAAATGAGACATACCTCCCAGGGTGTATGGTGCAATCCAGATAGATGTCCTTAGATATTGGAGCCACCCACTTCATCAGGTTAGGTTGTGGGTGTGCATTGCTCTATTAAAATTATAAATATAGCTTGCATGGCCTATCATTTCCACAACTACCAATCAAATCTATACTTCTTTCCCAACTTACCCAACTCCCCCCAGGACTCGCAATCAGAGACAACAAACACGAAAGAGGATAGAACTAACAAGAGTCATACTCTTTACAAGACTAGCAGCAAACCAACTCTCAACAGCTTTAGAAGACTCTGGAGAATAAGGGTCTATCAGATTGTCGCCGATATAAAAAGCTTCCAAAGGCACATAGTAGAATTAAGAAGACCATAAATCAGAGTGAAGTTTACAGTAACATAGGCCATCCGAACAACAACGCAGGTATACAATTTTTGTTCGAACTGCATGAGACAAATACATATAAAACTCATCAATTAATCGTAGCCTTTCGATGTATTTTTTCATTGACCACAAGACCTAGAGAGAAAGATATGGTTTAACTGATCAAGCGCAAACAGCACAAACACAATGACCCGGACCAACAAAATTCTCCCTCCGGCATCCCACGTATTCGGCGCCATCATCCTACTGAAGAATCGTCTGACGCGGCTGTCCCCTCAGCACGCCAAAGCCTCACTTGCTTCCTGTTGTCACGCGACTCCTAGGACATCCACAGCCCGTCTCTACTCGTCTTAATAATTTCCAGCTCGTACCCTTACATCGTCCACAGCGTTCGTAGGCTTCTTCATCTGCCACGCGCCGACCCCTTGATGTATTAGTACGTAACGGAATCCGTCTGTCCCGTCCGACTTCACGGCTAGGTTCGTCGCGTCATGCCATGCGTCCGTACCATTATAGATGTGATGGTCGCAGCATATACTTTCGCTGACACAGCGAGACGAGTCGAATGAAACTCAAGTGAACCTTTCTGGCCACATGTTTGAAAATAGAGGGTGATATAGTTTGTTACTGCTATGAGCTCCCATCATTATGACGGTCTGCTGATTGTAGGTGAGCAACGCCCACTCCTGGTTGACGCTCCGGATGGTTTCGAGCCGACCTGCAGATGGCAATTTTTTGGCCAAAACAAATGGGTGAATTGCCGCCACGAAATTAGTCAGGGTCCACGGTTCAGACAGCGATGATTTTGTGCTATTGGTTTTAAGGTATGTTGAGATGAATAAGAGCCTAGGGGAGCTTTTGATATTTTAAAGAAAAAAATTAATGGCAAATTAGTAATTAAATTGGGGACAATTATACTTAGCTATTTATTATATATGACACAAACAGTCTGTGGTTGCTCACACTCTGTGGACGTCTGGTTCGCTTTTACAAGATTCATTGACAATATCTTTAATGCAAAATTGGTGAGATATTTCCTTCCACCCTGCGATGTAATAAACCGTCATATATGATAGAGTAAAAGAGTTATACAAAAATCATTGTCGAACGGCGGGGGGAGCATAACGCTATTTATTTCAAATGCCATCGCCCTACAAGGGGTTTATAAGCGCCATCTACGTCACAAAATTGTGATTCTTTTTGGGTTATAATTATTAATTGCGATATACCAGATGGCAATACCGTTTCTATATGTTCGAGAGGAGAGGAGAGATGTCGGTAAATGGTGGCATGCCTCAATTAAACTGACTGTCAGTTGATTCTCACTTCATTGGAGATGTTGTCCTTTTTGTGCGTGAGCTACAGCAGTCATGACACTTTCATTTTAGGATACTGGTTGTCCTTTCGGGGCCCGCAAGAATGCATTTTTACTTTGTCCGAATTTTAGAATGTTTCTAACTTGCTCCAAATTGCGATACTTGCCACATCGAGGACAGGACTCACCCCCGGCGTAATGTCACATGATTTTAGTTCAGGGTACACCGATATTCCAGCCAATTACAGCAGTGGTCTGTTGCCCTGCTCGCTTCTCGTCAAACCGATGCCACCGCTGACTTAATGACAATCGTCCGCACCCCCGCTGTACTACTAACCGACCTGCGGTGTGAGCATACGGCACGCTATATGAGACAGCACCGTAGGTAGTAGGCCTTGCTAGCCCGGACAATGTTTTTATACGGGAACCGTCTATCGCCTCACGCGGTCTGATCTTTGATCCAGGCGTCGCTTCCGGCACCCGCCGTGCGTGGCGACAGGGGTCCGCTATATGTCGACTCATTACTGTGTTGCCTTAGTGTAGGAAGTGAAGGAGATGAGCTGAACAACGGTTCGGGTGCTAGATGTGACGACCGACAGGACGGAGAGACAGACTCACCGACTAGCTGCTCTATCTCCTCCATCGAGATGGTGCTGGGAGGAATCCTCAGCTCCAGACCTTCCTTCTTCTCTACAATGATCGGGTAGTCGAACCCGCTCTCCTCCAGGTACTTTCTCGTTATCTGGTATCCACTCATGTGCTTTACGAACTGATCCGCACTGCGACATGGAAGAGAAGGGGGAGCCATGAAACAGCTGTGAGAGAGAGGGGGAGAAGGGAAGAGAAAGAGGGGGAGGGGAGAGAGGGGGAGAAGGAAAGGGAGAGAGAGGGAAGGAAGAGAGGGGGAGGGGAGAGAGGGGGGAGAAGGGAAGGGAGAGAGAGTGGGAAGGGAGAGAGGGAAAGGGGGGAAGGGAGAGAGGAGAAGGGGGAAAGGAGAGAGGGAGAAGGGAGAGGGGGAGGGGTGATAGTGGGGAAAGGGAGAGGAGGAGGAAGGGATAGAGAGAAAAGGAGGGAGAAGAGAGAGAAGGGAAGGGAGAGAGAAGGGGAGGGGGATGGGAGAGAGAGGGGAGAGACAGACATTGATCAAGGGGGGAAGAGAGAGCGTGTGCGTGTGTGCGTGCTGCGTGCATGCGTGCGTGCATGTTTTACAGTTAAATAGTATGCAAAGTGTACGAAACCTTTTATGTAAATTTATATGGTAATTTTAAAACAATAAAACCAGCAAACCAGTAAAACAGTAATTAACACAGTAAAATTAATAAAAAATATGTACATATATGAATGCATGAATGGATTTAACAATGCAACTGCTGCAAGTAGATTTAACATGAGTTTAGTTAAATTAAAATGGAACATTTAACAAAATATATATTTATATTAAACAAATATTTATTTATTGGGGCTTGTACATCGCCCTAGAACCACTATATAACAGCTCTTTGACCAGTGAATTTGCAGCCAGACGTGCCAACGTAAACGATACAGGTTTCACATCCCCACAAAACAGGATTTATCAGATAATTACAAATAAATGTAAACCCGTTATGGTAAACAGTAATTCTACAATCAAAATAAAATAATCTATTTATATATTTGGCAGGGGTCTGCTGCTGCTTCAATGCACTTGGTCGCGACTGGTGCATGCGCCGTAACTCCGTACGCCCTCGTACACACATGGCTTACAAAAACAAATCGATTCAGTCCTACGCACGGCGCCGTGCCACAATTCTTGAATATTGTTGATGCAATTGTTGTGCATCTTTTAAGAAAATATGCTTGTTTTGGGGATACTTTTATGAAGAAAGCTGAACTTTGATTCATTTCCATCGACCTTACCGCAAAGCGCTCGGTACTAATTTTCTTACTATTGCTACAGAGGTAAGACATACATATATCATGCATAAAATATATGCAACCAAAATTGAAATACAGCCAAATTGGCACATTTTATGCAGTTTTCATGGTTTCAAAGTGTTCCTGTCTCGGCTCTCGCGCAGGGCATTGTTTCACCGGATCGCGAGGCGCGTATCCGTAGCGCTTCGCCTATAGCTGCCAAGGCGCGAAAGCACCGAGGGAGCGCGTGAATAAATAAAGAGCTAGTCACCATGGCAGCTCTGCTCCTGCATGGAAGTACAATTATACGTGTATAATTAACATAATTTTAAAAGTAATTAAAATAGGTGCACAACTGAACTCGCCCCAGAACCACTTTAAAGCGGCTAATTCTTCGCAACAAAAAGCATGAATACACGACACCAGCTCACTCACCGATGAAATAGGCATTATCAGTGGCTGGCCACCCACGCCACTACAAGCCTTGCAGCTGCTCGTTCTCTCTTGGGCGTGTGAACCCTCCTTCCTTGTACGCCAACACCACACACCACACACGCATCCCCGCCTCAGTGTGCAGCTGGCACACATAAACACTGGAGCACCTAAGGTCCATCTATAGTCTATATTCTATAACATGCTTCCAGTAAGGGAAGACGTTTTAACAAACGCTTTTCACTGGTGAGCGAATAATTCCGAAAACATACAATGTTTACAACATTTGTTATCACCAAAAATTAGGTTCACATAATACTTACAATATATATATTTATTTCATATATATTTTATATATATATATACGTGTGTATCGCGCTACGCGTGTGTATGGCTTTGCGTCATGCATTTCGCTGTGCTCGCGGGTAGAACACGTCACCGGGAGCTCGTGGTGACAGATGCCATCTCCACGGCATCAAAAAACAAATAAAACAAACAAATGAGACTTGATCCCGGGAGAGAAACCAGGCGGCGCCACCGCCACGCTCCTTTCTCTCCATCACCGTATCCGTCTCCGCGTCACTGCAGCGAGGGGTTGTCCGCCCGCCTCCCTCCCCCCCGCGTCACTGCAGCTAGGGGTCGTCCGCCTGCCTCCCTCCCCCCCGCGTCACTGCAGCTAGAAGTCGTCCGCCCGCCTCCCCCCCTCCCCGCGTCACTGCAGCTAGGGGTCGTCCGCCCACCTCCCCCCCTCCCGC